AAGTTGAACCGTGGACGTGGTACATTCCCAAACGTTTCGCCGGCATCGCCATTCTTAGCACCACACAACAACTAGTAAAAGAGAAAAGTGAATCCGATCCTTTGACCAAACGTTTGGGAATTTACCACCTCCATGGTTCGACTTTGGAAATGATCGTGCCGACCATGGACCTCGGACTAGGTGCGTTCCTCTAGGTCTTCCTACCAATGTGACCAAGTTGCGAAAACTAGGTCAAACAACCTCTGAACAACGAAAGGAGACTGCGACCACACAAAAGGCCACACCACCTTGAAATTGTCAGTTCTTCAGGTATGACCGTTTCGGCCGCTTGTTTAGACCTCCCTTCTCAGGAGCCCCGGATCTCGCGAAGGAGTTCAGGCAGATCGCGATCGTTGATTGGGCCTGAGCACAAGTCATGTAGGCCAGGCGACTCAAAGTCTTGTGGGATCCGGCCGATTTAGAGCGCCTCGAGAACTCTGTTTCTAGCCTGCCGGCCTCAGAGATAATACCAATTTGGTCTTTGCATCGGAGAAGAAAGAGAAAGTACTCTTCAAAGCATACCATCCGTCTCCACGAGCCGGATGTTGAGGTTAGACAGACGATGGATACTCACAGGCATAATCACTACTGCGAATCAGTCTGGAAGTATCCTAGGGCGTATCCATGTCCGTAAACAGACAGGCTTACAACGGGGCACAAAAACTGGCCACATTCGTCAGACGCAGACATGACAGCTGCTAAAGTATCGCCAAACAAAGTCACTTCCGACTCATTTGAACGTTGTTATCTCCTGCCGGAGCCGGAAAACCACTGTCCACGGCTGGACCCAAATCCGTCAAGTCAGGGAGCTTCTTTTTCCCAGAGCTCCGCCCCCCCCCGACACCAGCACACCAGGTTACGCCTGCACAGACAATGATCCAGAGCCCTAGCGACATGCAGTCATTAGGACTCTACCATCGGTACCGGTTCTAGCGCGGGTGTCGAACGGTGAGTTACGGCCTGAGTACAAAGTGAGGCCTGACAAGGCCTGATAACATACCAGATAGGCGGTGTGATGAGCTTCCCTGGGCCCCTCCAGTTCAGACCGTTGCCTCCAACCCCAACTCCAACTCCACCTCTGCCTCCAGCCCTTGCCTCCTCTCGCGGGAGATCGGCTATCTTGATCGGAGGGCAGGGCCAGTTCTGGCTTTGATGACAAAATATATCCGGCCATTTCTGTGGGCTGAACCCAATGCTACCCTATCCTCATGAGGGGCCAGGCGCAGGTTGCAAACCAACAGGTCCATACAGTACTGCAAGCCGTGAATTAGATTTTAGTCACCCTGGGTCACTTAAGAGGATTTAAGTAGTGAATGAATGCAATAATATTAGTGGGAACACTTTCATTTCACATGAAGGTGGTTGATGAAGGATAGAGACATGCCCCCTTGTAGTGGATGAAATGTGACTGAGACCCAAGTTAACACCAAGTCAAAAAGATCGTCCTACTCTATCCTACAGTTC